TTTTTAAAGAATTAAATAATATGTTGGCTATAACATTTAGGCAAACTAAACCCATATGAAGAATAATCCTGAGTCGACGTATTCATCTGTAATTTTCCTACCCTCCACTAGTGGGTTTTTCCCCCATTTCATCTTTTTAATTTATGCTCTAGAGTAAAATTTCATCGAAGCTTTTCATTTCAGACCTACCAAGAATAGCCAGCACCATGCTGTCTTTAAGAACTTCCATGGAGCCTGAGCACACAAAGTAGATGGCCTGCAAAGCATCCCCTTGACGCAGCAGATACTCCCCCGGAGCACAGAAAGAGGTTTTGATGTGGAGAGACAGAGACCTGAGGCAGCCCCGGCTGGCGCATTCAAAGAGGGACAACTGTAAGATCTCCTTGTTCAAGTGCATAGTGATGTCAGAACGCAGTTCATCTGGAAAGTCTTTCAAAAGCTGTCAGAGAAGATGAAGGAGGAAATCAAATTGGGGTAAGCGGAGTCTAATTGATTTACTTTGCAAGACAGCAGGGATGCTCCATCTACTGTTTTCTACTGTTTGACCAACCAGAGTTCCGAAGAGGAAATCTATGTATGTATGATCATGGAGAAACTTTTCAGTGACTGTGATCTCAATTATGTGCTACTGAATACTCAGCTGATCACAAGGCTGAAGAAATAGAATAAATTAATAAAAGACTCTAGCATGAAAACATATAATTTATTGTGACTTGGTTCTCAGAAAGATTCTGAGTCAGGACAGAAAATATGGAATTTGGAGCCTCTGGTGCTTTTCTCTGTGATCATGATCAGCTGAAGAGAGGAGACACGAAATAGTCACTCTTAAAATGTTAGCTACTGGTTTGGTTGGTGGGTCGATGGAATGATTAGTTGATTTACAGGATACCTTTTTTTACAATGGTGGTCTGAGGTGTTTCTGGGAGTCTACAGATAATGCCTTTGATGGAATTTCTTTTTACTTACTGATTTTAAAGGCAAATATTAGCTTGATTAATATAATCATCTCAGATACACCATTAAACTGTCATAAGAATGGGTTCCTTCAAAAAGGGACAATGAGAATGAAAATAAGTCCACCTGATTGACCAAAGTAGCAAGCTAATATAAAACATTGGTCAATCCAAAGTGGCATTGTGCAAACACAAGCCAAAGCAGATGAAAGAAGATGGATTGGGATTCATGAGGGATTAAAAAATAAAGGGATAAGTAAAGATAAAGAAATTGGTAGATGTGTTTTTCACTTCTGATACCTGCATTAAAGCATCTTGCTTTTCCTTTAGAATATGTGCTTTCTGCCTGATAATGTCAACATGAGAAATGAACATTACCTCATTTGAATCTATTCCATTGTTGACTGACCAGGTTGTTTGAAAGTATTCGAGCATCCTCTGCTTGAGCTGTTGGGGCAGGTGATGGACACGGATAAAGTCCTTCAGATCCTTAGTTCTAGTGTGATAGAGGGACCATCTAGAGTACATCCTCTGTATGATCGCTGTCACATTTCCAAACACCAAGGCGTGCATCAAGGCTAGAAAGAACAACATGGCGTGTGACGGAAGAGAACATATGATGGGAGAGCCCACTCCTTCAGTCTAAATTTACAGTCCGTATATTCTGGATCAGAGCACAGCATGCTGATGTGGCCGCATTGATACAGCTATTTTGGCTCAGCCACTTCATCGCAGGGTGCATCCTGAAGCCGTCATTTTGATTCCATATGGCTAGATCAAAGTAAAGATATCTTTTAAAAATACTGGATGAAATGCAAAATAGGCCCCTTTGACCCACACTCGATCTATTAGCTGCCATTCTGGTTATGACAAACTTTTATTTGAACTCTATGCATATCTATATTGTTTTAATAGTTATTATGAAATAGTTTTAATAGTTTGATAGATAAGCTATAAAATTATAGCTTAATTATTTTATTTATAATAACAAATTTTAAATATAAGTCTATTATAATTGGTTAGCCTTTGTGGGAATTTTAGTCTGATTCCCCTAAAGTCATCATTTAAAATTAGTTTTAGAATATTAAATATGATATATTTATCTTAATACAAATATTGAGGAAGTTGTTAGAAATGTCATTGAGGATTCCTTGAGCAGTCTGAAGCTGATATTAATATGGCTCCAATTCCCAACCTTACCCCAGTTCTACAGTCACTTTAATTTTAAGGGAATATCAGAAAATTTGAGACCATTCAAGAAACAAATATATTCACAAAGAAAGAAAGGGAATTCTGCATAGAGTCATTGCTGCCATCCTGAGATGCGCCAGCATGGTACATATATATGGGACTCCTATTTCAATTGGGTTTATCAGGCGGATGGCATTTCACTCCCACTTTCTTACAGAGCCTCCCTCTTCCCAAACCTACCACCAGAGCATAATAAGATGAAAGACTGTGTTCGTCAGAATTTGAGGGTGTTTGGGGGCTGGGGTTGGCTATTTCTTCTGGAGAAAAGTGGAACAAGAGGATGGACCTCACTTTTCAAGAATTGCCCACATTGGAGAGTAGCTAGGTATCTTGATGTCAGAGAAGGCATGACCGGATTTTACACTCAATTGTCATTAGCAGAACAGAACTGGCATGGCCTAAGCAGACACCAGCAGGTAGCTCAAGAAGGCCTGGGACATACCTGGGGCTGTGAAACTGAGAGAGGTATGAGAGCCAGGTGTACTTAAGTATATGGGCAAATCAACTCTAAGTGGTATTCGGATTTTAGCCCTGAGCCCCATCCTGGGACGGGATTGGCATGAGGTAAAAAGTTCAGGGATTGGGTGAAATCATCCATTTCAGTAATTTTGGATTTAAAAAAACACTAAAGATTTAGTCTATTCATTTGTCTATGAGGATCTATTAAAATGTCCCTGCATCAAAATCCCAGTGTCCGAGGAGCTATGTTAAAATTTCTTAACATCAAAATGGATACATTAGTGTAAATGTGTCAACGATATTACATCTATCCCTCTGAACATTTCAGTACAGCCCCAATTCAAATTCCTTTTTCCCTCACATTTACCAGAAACTACCAAACATTGACATGTTAATTTCATTCTAGTCTAACACTGGAATTAAAATTCTCTCCCAGGTTACATATCATAAATTCTCTATGGAATAACAGTCATTATGGCTATAAAATCACTCCCTTAATAACAAGGCCTCAGTATTTTGGAAAGTTACTAGAATAGAGTTAAACTTAGGGTCCAGATACAGGAGGCAATACAAAGTTGCAGACAGAATGTGGACTTCAGAATCACATCCGTCTAGATTTGAATATAGACTTTGCTACTTCCTAATTGTACAAATTTGGCAAGTTACATCATTCCTTTACATGAACTCATTTCCCATATGTTAAATGGGTATATTAGTATGTTACTTATAGGGCTATTTCAAGATTTAAAGAGCTAATATATGTTTTTTAAGTGCCTAGTATATGTATGAAAAACAGTGGTTGCTCAACTCATGTTAATTAATTGAAAAGTGTTACCATGAATTTTCAGCATGGTCAAAGGAGCAAAATTTGGGGAAAATGACCTAGATTTAAGGTTTTATGGCAACCTCTTAAAAAGTAAAGAGTGGCTCTTAGTGGAAAAAACTTCTTGATAAAAGAAATGCAAGAAAAATTCAATAAATGCCTGTTACATGTGAGTACACATAAGTATGTATTATTCCTAAATATTCAAAAATGAAAGGTCAAAAATATCCCAAGAAAAATGTATATCACTTAACAACTTAATGTTGCATTATATTCTTTGTAGATGCTAAAGGGAGGTTCATTCTTCTGTATTGTTTAAGAACCAAAACAGCTCTGATGCTGAAATATTTTATTTGGAAGAGAAGATCTCATTTATGATAAACATTCACCAAAGAAAAGAACTGATTCTGGTCCAAGTCAAAGAAATTAAATACCTGTTTAAGGTTCTGTTAATATCCTTATGGGCTCGGTGTCTGGAAGCTCTACCGTCTCTAACAGTATATACCAGTCTTTTCATGGAGATGAAACTGAGTACAGAGAACAATTTTATTTCATTTATTTTAACACTGCTTTCCCTAGTTATGTATATGATTTTATCTTTGCTTTGCTTAATTATAATATGTAAAGCACTTAAAGTAAGAGAAGTAATATATTCAGATTATTTAGCATCTTAATTGTACATTATCAATAAAATGAATTACTGGATTAATTGTAGCATTCATGTGTTGTTGGAAAGTACTAGTCTATGTCTGAGCTACCATAATTTCAAAGTCTCATTTTTGCATAGAAAACTACTTCTAATTTAAATAGTTAAAATATAAAACCCTGGCTTTCATAGTTTTTTTCATTTTCCAAAGTTATTATGGCCTTTCTGTCTGTCATTTCAGCCTGACAAAGAGGGTGTGTAACTGTCAGCCAAAATCATTCCGTCCATTATGAAAGTTCGACTCAAGAACTTCTATATCCAGGTCAGTTTGGAAATTATCATTCACCATTTCTTTATGTCTAGCAAATTTGATGTACATAATTTTTGAGTGTTAGAACCACTAAGTGTATACGAGTCTTTCTTTGTGTAGGAGTTTTGTATAAAATGCGTTTTGTAAAATCTTATCTCAGTATCAGGTCCTTGAAGGAACCTCAACAACTGGGATCTAAGAAGAAAGTAAGCAGATCTCAAATGAAAGCACTTTTACAGGACTGCTTGGCTTTTTCTTTCTTTTCTCTTTCTTTCTCTTTTCCTCTTTCTTTCTCTTTTTCTTTCTTTTTTCTTTTTCTTTCTTTTTCTCTCTGTCTTTTCCTTTCCCTTTCCTTCCTCCTTCCCTTCACCTTTCTTTTTTACTTACCTGAATCTTGGGCAACATTGTTTTCCTGGAATATAATATCATTGCTTATTTCTTTAGCCAACTATTGTGCAGTGGCTTTGGAGTCTATGCAGGGGCTGTTTTCTATTCATATACAAGGAGACCAGAGCTCAGCTTTTGGGTAATCTTAGCTGCCCTCTTTCTCTCTCCCGCCTACTCATTGCCCTGGAATTTTCCATTCTTTGTTATAAGTATACCGAATTGTGGATGGCAGATGGCAGAGAAAACAGAGAGTGAGAAAGATTTCCTAAATGATGGATTTAAATGGCAGTGCAAAGATATCTTAAGAATAGCCTGAATTTGTGAACACCATAGCTCATATAGGTCCAATAAAATTATAGCAGGGTAGAGTGTATTGAGTGGAGGGACCCAAGGGATACCTTGACTACATCATAACAGTAACACCTCATTTAAACCAGACATGTTTTCAGTGATGAGCTATCTTCACTAGGAAGCTTTATCTAACCTCCAGGCTGAGTTGATGACCCCATCAATTGGGGCAAGCTCATTAGGTGACTATAGACTGTCACTATTAAGTATGATAGAAGAACTTTTAAAGACCTGGAAAAATCTCAGTATACTTTGGTGGCAAAACGGATATGTGCAGTTAGATATAAATATTTGAGAAAAATAGAGGTATATATGTATAAAAAGACTGAAAAGCTATTTTTTGGTGATGAGATTGTGTAATTTTAATTTCTATCTCTTTTCCAGTCTCTTCTAAATGTGCATTATAATAAGAAAAATGGAAATAAAAAAAGAAAGAACATCATCTGCCTAAGTACCTACTTCCATTATTAAACTGTGAACTCCTCGAAGGAAAGCATCATATCTTAGTCATCTTTGTTTTCCCAGCATCGAGCGCACTTCTTGGCATAATTTAAGTGTGCCATAAATATTTATGGAACGGAAATGAGTCTCTGGTAGTTTGGTACTTTCTTTAAAAAGTTTTATAATCGTAAGTAAATACTTTAGAAAATTTATGTCGAACAGGTCAGCCCCGAACACATCCCTTCTTCACTCCACCCCTCTCCCGAAAGTCAACCTTTTAAAATGATTTCTTTTAGGTCTTCTTGTGGTTATCATCAAGATTGCAGACAACATAATTTTACTCCTATTGCTTGACTCATAATTGTTAAGACAAATCTAAGAACAACTTTATATGAAAGATAAGAACTTAACTCATTATTAGCCAGCTTCTCATCCCACACTTGACGGTTATACTATTGTATCTCATCTATTATAATAATTTCACAAGGTAAAATTGATATCAAAGACATATATAAAGTTACACAAATACTAAATGTATAGCTCATTGAGATTTTTCAAAGCAAACATAGCTATGGAATCACCCTCCCCCACCTCCCAGGTGAATAAACAGAATATTGTCAGCATCCTGGAGGCCTCCGCTGTGTTCCTTTCCCAGTCACTAACCACCCCCCTCACCAAAGGTAACTACAGTTACGAATTATATTACAATCGATAAGCTTTGCCTGCTTTTGGACTTTCTCTAAGTAAAATCATACAGTATGCAGTTTTTTGTGTCTGGCTTCTCTGCTCAGCATTGTGTTTGTAAGATTCATCTATGAGGTTGTTTGACATAGTACTTCATTCAGTCTCATTACTGTATAGTTCTGTCTTGAATAATTATTTCACAATTTACTTATTTATTCTCCTAGTGAGG